ATTCTTTAGAGAAGACGCTCATCCTTACAGAGGAGGAGAGTGATGCGATTCAGGTCGGACAGGATGATATCCATGATGTGGGGGAGCGACTTAGGACTTGTCTGGTGGGGAAAGTCCTTACCACTAACGTTTTCAACTGGGAGGCTTTCAAGCAAACGATGTTGAAGATTTGGGGTACGGTACGTGAGGTGGTGGTGAAAGATATTGGGGATAATCTGTTCTTGTTCATCTTTGCGACTGAGGGGGATAGACTGAAGGTTTTGAGTAGTGGGCCTTGGAACTTCGATAAAGCCCTTGTCTTACTTGAGCCTCCTAACGGCAGTATTGCTCCATCCAAGATGCTTCTCAAATCTGCAGACTTTTGGATTCAGGTCCATAATGTACCTTTGAGCTGTATGTCGACAACGATGAGGAGGTAGATTGGGAATAGTTTTGGACGGTGCTTGGATGTCATAGAAGGTATGGATGGGGAGTGTTTGGGTAGGTTCCTTAGGATAACAGCGTGGATGTCTCCACGCCGTTAAGACGAGGAAAAAAGATGATGTTACCTTCTGGGAATACAGTGTTTGTGGAGTTCCGATACGAGCGTCTGTCGGAATTTTGTTCCTGTTGTGGCCGAGTGGGTCATGTATTCAAAGAATGTTCTTTTGTCGACCCGGCAGCCAAACATGCAAGTGACAAGCCATATGGTATTTGGCTTAGGGCTATAAAGGATTTTTTATCCTTTTCGGGCTGGCAATCCTAAAAGAACTAGCGGAAGTAGGGTGAGAAAAACACAAGGGCTTATGGAGGATAGAGGGTCTGAGGAAGGGGACTGGGTGAAGGAGAGGGAGATGGAGGAGGGAGGGCAGACGGGTAATTCAAGTGGGGATAAAGTGGCGGAATCTGTGTGGGTCTGTTGGGTAGACAATCACCGAGGAAGGAGAACCGGGAGGCGGTAGCAGCAGGGGGATTGGCCAGAAGCAGGGGAGAGGGGACTCCTTCGATTAGGGATGACGTGGCATCAATCCAAGACCCAGCAATTCACGTTGTAACTTATTTGAGTAGGCAGTTACAAAAGCCCATAATGATTGAGGAGGTTGGTGTCATCAAGGAGAAAATAATTGGGAGTAATTCCACAATCAAAGCTGGAGAGACAAAGGCTTTTATGGAGGACATTAGTCTTAAAATGGTCGCAGCCAGTTTCAAAGTTGGTTTTGGTGAGGAGGGGAGAGATTCTTTGTATAACCTTCATGGACACAAGTCACCGAGTAGCATTGAAAGTGGGCTGGGTAACTTAAGTGGGGCCTAAAAAAATGTGGAATTTGGGTTTGAATTTGAACATGACCTGTTGGAGGACCCAATGCAGTATGAAGTACATGCTGGGCAAGAACACAAACTCCAGGTGAACTCAAAAAGTAAAAGGTCGTGGAAACATCAAGCAAGGATGAGAAGATCCCCAAAGTGACACCTTGTCTTTCGGTTCAACTAAAGTGGTGGGATCAGTATGGCTGACCCACCACAAGCAATGAGGATCTTAAGTTGGAATGTCCAAGGTCTCGGGGCTCCTTGGACATTCCACTCTCTCAAGAATGTGCTGCGTGAGAAAAAACCCGATTTGGTTTTTTTAATGGAAACCAAAATGACAGCAAATCAGATGGAACATAAACGGATTCAATTGGGAATGGAAGGGGTGGTGAATGTAGCAAGAGTTGGTTTAGAGGGTGGTTTGGCTTTGTTTTGGCGGAGCGGTTGGGATGTGAGGCTGCTATCTTATTCTGTGGGTCATATTCATGTTTTGATCACTGAGTCGAATGGTTCACAGTTTTATCTTACTGGGTTTTATAGGCATCCTGAGACTCAACAACGCCACCACTCTTGGGAGCTATTACGTAGATGGTCGTATTCGGTTCAAGGAGCCTGGGTGGTTGTCAAAGATTTTAATGAGATTCTTTTATCAAAAGACAAAAGATGGGGAGGAGAATGACCACAAAGCCAGATGAATAATTTTAAAATGGCATTGGAAGGTTGTTGGCTTAGTTCCACTAGATTTACTGGGTATCCGTTTACTTGGGCTCGTCGTTATCCTGATGATAGCATAGTGGAAGAACGTTTGGACAGATGTGTAGTGAATGGTGTCTTCTTGGGTCGTTACTCATATATGACGACCATCCATTTAGTGACAGTTGGTTCCGATCACTATCTGATCCTAGTAGATGCCTGTGTTGTTGATCCATAAGCAAGTGTAAAATGGAGTAGACGTTTTCATTTTGAAGAAATGTGGACAAAGGAGCCGGACTTTGACAAGGTGATTGAAGAGGCTTGGAGGAGTACAGACGGAGTGGAGGGTATAAGTAACAGTTTATCATTGTGTGCCAATGATCTCAAAACGTGGAACCATGTCCACTTTGGTAATGTTTGCAATCAATTAAACTATGCTTACAAGGAGTTAGCAGCCCTTCAAGGGAGACTAACAACTGATCAACATGTGCTAAAGGCCAGAGTTGAGGACACCATTTCAGACCTTTTAGAAAAACATGAAATTATGTGGAGACAACGATCCAGAGTAGCGTGGCTCAAGGAGGGAGACAAGAATACTCGTTTTTTCCATGGGAGGGCAAGTTCCCGTTCCAAACGCAATAGGGTGTGCAGAATTTTAGATGAAAATAAGGTTTGGCAGACTAATGAGCAAAGGATATGGGACCTTTTCTATGACTACTTCAAGAATTTATTTTCTTCCTCCGGTGGTCTACAAATGGAGCGGATTTTACACAAGGTACGGCCAGTAATAACAGGTGATATGAATGATCGGTTGTTGCAAGCTTTTACGCGGTAAGAGCTAGAGCATACTTTATTTCAGATGCTCCCAACTAAAGCACCTGGGCATGATGGGATTTCACCTTTATTTTTCCAAAAGTATTGGCACATAGTCGGTGATAAGGTGGCCAACAAGTGTCTGTAGATTCTAAATGGAGAAGGAAGTGTCCGGGAGTTTAACCATACCCTTATCGCTCTCATCCCAAAAGTCAAGATGCCAACCACTGTCTCAGAGTTCCGACCGATCAGCTTGTGTACGACTGTCTACAAATTGATAGCGAAAACAATTGCAAATCGATTGAAGACTGTTCTTCCTCATGTCATAACGGAAACTCAAAGCGCCTTTGTACCGAACCAGATGATTTTGGCTAATGTGATGGCTGCTTTCGAAATAATGCATACTATAAAGGGAGTGAAGAAGGGGTGCGATGTCAAAATGGCTCTTAAATTGGACATGGCCAAGGCATATGACAGGGTGGAGTGGGTTTTCTTGAGTGAAATGATGCTCAAACTGGGTTTTTCATCCATATGGGTAGCCAAAGTTATGGACTGCATCACCACTACTACTTTTTCGGTGCTTTGGAAGGGTACTCCTCTTGGGCACATTATGCCACAGCGTGGGTTACGGCAAGGATGTCCTTTATCTCCATATCTTTTTCTTTTGTGCACTGAGGGGTTCTCGTGTCTCCTGCGTGGTGCAGAAAGGAGGGGGGATTTGATGGGCATTCAAGTGGCAAGGGGGGCGCCCTCTGTAACTCATTTGTTGTTTGTGGATGACAGTATTTTATTTGTGAATGCAACGCAGGAGGCTTGTAGGGCTTTGGAAACATTATTCCATACCTATGAAGAGGTCTCAGGGCAACAGATCAATTATTCTAAGTCTGTGCTCTCTTTAAGTCCGAATGCCAAACGAGCAGATTTCGATATGGTTGCTAGTATCTTGCATGTTCCAGTTGTGCAGTGCCATGAGAAATATTTAGGACTGCCAACTGTTGCGGGAAATGGAAGGAAACAACTTTTCCAACATTTAAAAGACAAACTTTGGAAGTATATAAGTGGGTGGAAGGAAAAGCTCTTATCTAAAGTGGGGAAAGAGATTTTAATTCAAGCCGTGTTACAGGCAATTCCCACCTATTCGATGAGTTGTTTTCGGATTCCAAAAGGATTGTGCAAGGAACTTCATGGAATTATGGCTCGTTTTTTATGGGCAAAGGCGAAAGACAAAAGGGGTATTCACTGGGTGAAGTGGGAGCTGTTATGTATGAGTAAGTTTGCAGGAGGATTGGGGTTTCGTGATCTTGAGGCATTCAATCAAGCTCTGCTTGCAAAATAATGTTGGCGCATCATTCAGACTCCAGACTCGTTGGTGGCAAGGATTTTTAGAGCCAGATATTATCCATCTCTTTCATTTGGAGGTCTTTGCATTGGGGGAAGGAGTCGCTCAACAAGGGATTGCGTTGGAGAGTTGGCAATGGAGTGTCCATTCAGGTTTATTCCGACAAATGGCTTCCAGTCCAGTCTTTGTTCAAAGTTATGTCTCCTCCACAGCTGCCACTGTCAACACTAGTTTGTGATTTATTTACCTCTTCAGGACAATGGAATGTGCCTTTACTTAAGGATATTTTTTGGGATAAAGAGGTGGACGCAATATTGCGGATCCCATTGGTTTCTTTGGTAAGTCATGATTGTTTACTTTGGCATTACGAAAGGAACGGAATGTACTCGGTCAGGAGTAGATATTGGTTGGCATGTTTGGAGAAGGATAAAATGTGTGGAGAGTCATCTGCTGGTGCCGATTTAAATTCTACGTTCTGGAAGAAAATTTGGGCCCTTAAAATTCCAAATAAGATTAAGTTTTTTCTATGGAGGTGTGTTTGGGATTTGTTGCCTTGTGGTCAGACACTCTTCAAGCGGAAAATAGCGCCCACATCAATCTGTTCTAGCTGCCATCGTAAAGTTGAAAGTGTTCTACATGCTATATGGGGGTGTGAGGCTGCAAAGGAGGTGTGGCGCAATTCAGTGTGGGGTAACGTCTGTGAGGTGTGGAGGGTCAAGTATTTCAGAGCACTATGGCATGCAGTACAGATCTCCTCAGGGGGGAAAAACAAGGGTTATTTGCATATTTGTGCTGGGGGATTTGGAATAGGAGAAACAGCTTTATTTTTTAAGGGAAATCAGAAAGTGCAGTATAGCTATTGCATCGAATGACTAAATTTGCTCAAGAGTTCTATGATGCAAACAACCTCTCTCATATGAGCCATGGTCGTCAGCCTAGTTCTCGAGTTCTGTCTCAAGTCTGGAGGCCTCCGGTAGCAGGTATTTACAAAATAAATGTAGATGGGGCAATCAAATCTGGAGATTCTGTCCGTGGGGTTGGGGTGGTCGTCAGAAATGAGAAAGGGGAGTTCATGGCAGCATGTGTTAGGCGGCTCCAAGCCAGTTATGGGGCTAGGCAAACGGAGCTTATGGCGGCAATAGAGGGACTACGTTTTGCTATTGATATGGGCTTTACTGATGCTATTCTGGAAATGGACGCACAAGACTGCATTAATAGTATTCTTTCAACAGAGGAATGCAATGGAATATATGCTCCTTTGATTGAGGAAGTGAACAATCTACTTAAAATGTTTAGAGCCGTCGTATGTCAATGGACTCCAAGAGGCGGTAATAAGGTGGCACACACTTTGGCTCAGTTTGCAATTCATTGTAATGATTTTGTTACTTGGATCGAGGAAGCACCAATATGGTTGCTCCCTGTTCTTGAAGCTGATGTACTTGCTTTCGAGTGTTGAATGAAATTTTGTTTCTTAAAAAAAAAAAAGAATTAAGAAAGAGAATCCAACAAAACAAAGGAGAAGTTGTGTCCCATGAAAATAAATATGTTCTTGTTTTGGTTTTTATTTTCAAATTTATGAAAAATAATTAATTTATTCTATTATCCTTATTTAATAAAAAGTTTCAATGCTTAACCAACCAATGATAATTTTTAATTTTTTGAATGTTTTACAATTCTCTTTTTTTTTTTCTTTATATATATACTAGCCTCTCCACAAGTGCTTCTGCACTTGAGAGAGGTCTTTTTTTAAAAAAAAAATTTAAAATTTATTTTAGAAATAAAAAAGATAATGGATAGTTGTGTTCCATAAAAATATGATTCATTATCTGATTTTTCCTTTAATTTTCAATTTTTTTTTAAATGAAAAAGTGTCCTTATTTAATTAATAATTTCAACTCTTAATATTTGCATTAACCAAGGACATTTTCTGGTATTTTGAATGTTTTACTATTATCTGTCTTTTGCTATATATATTACACTACTAAAAAACTGGGGAAAAACCACGGGCATAAGAGCACCCAAAACCGCATCAAAAAATAAGAGCACCCAAAAAGAAAGTGGTGTGCGAGAGTAAAACATGTAAGCACAAATATTTAATTGTTAAACGTGGTTATTAATTTGTGCTTTAAAAGCTCGACCCATGAGCCGGGCTTGAGAAAGTCCATCAGGCCGGACCGGGCTAAGCCTAACAGACCGAGCCTAAACGGGCCTTCTTCATTAAAAAAAAATCATAAACTTAATCATAAGGGCATTTTAGTCCAAATTTGAGATTAAACTTATTTAATTCTAATATTTTCACATCAAACCAAATTCATAAAACACCCAATAAAGTCACACAACTTAATAAGATTTTCCACAAAAATAATAAAACCAAGTATTATTTTTGAGGTTATTACATAATTAGACCATAATACATTTTAAAAAATAGTAAGTATCAAAAAAATATTTTTTTTAAAGGATGGTATGAATAAATATGCAAATATTTGGTGATGTGTTCAAGAAAAGCATGATTATATTTGGTGGTACGATTATGTTTCGTGATATGATTATATTTGGTGATGTGATATGTTGTTCATCTTATTTTTATATATAAATATAATTATTTAATTAATAATTGACACAAATTAATGTGCTAATTATCCAATTATAAACTAGAAATGAGTAAAGAAAAGTAAATGAAATGAAACAAATTAATGTCACACGACCCCATTTGTCCAGCTGTGCGTCCGCCCCCTCCTATAAATGTTGAAAATTGCAAGCTTGCCTTTATTTAAGGGTGCTGCCTTTTCTACTCTCCTTTTCTCTTTTTAAGTGGACAAAAATGGAGTGGTAAAATCAACTCTCTTATTTAAAGACTTTAGTAATGGAAAGGTCTCATGAATCTAACGTCTTTAGATCCTTTCCATTTATATTTTAATCTATGGACATGTCACTTTGTTGGTTATGCATAAGTTTTGGCTTCATTAACTTGATTAGATCAAGTGTTATGTCCTTAGAAGTTTGATTTTCAGATTGGCTTCTAAGGCATATTTCTAACAATTGCCTAATAGTATCATTCGATGACCAATGTCCCACTTCCTATGCACTTTTCTTTTTGTTTCTACTTTATATTTATGTGGGTGAAACCAAACTCTAAGGTGTGAAATATCATCGTCTTATAATTAAACGATATTTATTTTGCATTTTTCTATATGTTTTCCATTTCTGAAAAAACAAATTCAATCAATTCAACGCCCCTATAGTCTTCTTAATTTTTTTTCTTCTTTATCTACGTATCTATAGTAAAAAAAAAGGTATTTCATTCAAAAATTAACAACTTAAACGCCCCTAGTCTTCTTCTAGTATTTACAATGATATTCAATCCAGCGTAAAAGTCTTTGAGAGAAAAGTGATAGTTGTAAGGCTGGCCCTGAGCCTTGGGCGAAAGTAGAGAATGAGGTCTACATGCTCGTTATTCACACACAAGGAAAATTATCTTTTTTCTTCTGCTTTTTTTGCTTGGGGTTTGAATACAAGAAAAATTCTTAGTTTACAAAATATTTTTTCATTTAAAACTCCTTTAAACGTAGTCACTTGCTAACCATTGCAAATAAAAAATATTTTTATATTTAAAACTCCTTTTCTGTTTTTGGAAACTATATTTTTGTGAGGACCTTTCCTATTGAAAGAGGCAATAGCATATAACCAAGGTGGTTGGTGTGAGTGGTTCGGCACTCTCATTCCTTAAGAGAGGTCATGGGTTCGATCCCTGCTCTCGTATGGAGTCACCACTTTGGCCAGCACTTTACTCCTTACGGGCCGACCCGGTGTGAACGGGGATTAGTCTGGGTTGTGGTTAAGGCTTAAAGGTGCCATCCATAGTTGGAGCCCATCCAGGACCACCTCGTGGTTCAGACCAAAAAAAAAAAAGAGGCAATAGCATATTAAACTCACACACACAACACGAATGCTAGGTTTTGAACCCAAGACCTTGCCTGAGGAAGTAAATACTCCAAACCACTACACTAGTGGGTCCTTTGCTTTGGAAATTATTGATAGGATTAAAAGCACACCACAAAGTAGCACACAAATAACCTATTGATTTTCCTTATTAACACTAAGATTCATCAATTGTAGCATATGAAAATTGTCTTATCTAACTACTTCAAATGTCACAAAAACTGGGCTGCTGTCCCTACTGACCAGCCACCGAAGAAATAATTATTATCCCTACTTACACTTATCAAAAGTCTACGAAATTTTATGCACAGATACTAGACACGCAGAGCTACACTCACACAAATTTTTGGGATTTTTAGAGTTGATTTGCTATATAAATTAAATCGGACAACAACAGAACAGAAACGGATTTTCAATTATAAGAATAGATTATCTTTCACAATTAAGAAAATGAGTTAGGGGAAGTGCTATCCACCACCAAATAGTCATGCAAACATGTTATGTTTCAATCAGATTCCTTTTATTTCCAGATGAAGATGCTCAAGTTGGCTCTATGTTAGAACTCAACCTATTACTCTTTCTTATGTACTATGATAAGAGAATGACGTTTTCAACTTAACTTAGTCCCTAGCATGCAATCTATAATGGCGTGTTCATAGATTTAACAAGTAGAAATCATTAAGAACGAAAAGAGTTTGAGTCATCACAAGGCATCATAAGTATTGGTGTTGTCTTACTTATCCTAGAAATTGATTCACATGTTAATCGCAACTAACAAGTACTACTCTAGAACATATGTAGGTCCTCATTCAACAAGGGCAGGCATACACATATTCATAGCATTAGAATCCTAAATATGCTTACTAAGTATGCATCCGTAGAAAACACATAAAGAATTCATCAACAAGACAAGTAGTGAAGCAATTTTCATCCTTTCATGAAAGGAATTGAAATGAAATGTCATAACACATTTGCAATCATATCTGGGGCTTCAAAACAGCCCCTAACTACTAAAAATTTAGTTCCACATTATTCTTAAATTAAACCAAAAGAAAGACATGAGTTTGGGAAGGTAAAACCGAAAGAAGAGAATGTCAAGATTTCCTCCCTCCTCCAACGTTCCTGCCTTGCCTCTCTGTTTTCTTTTTCACAGATCGCTCTCTCCAAAACTTATTCCACTAATAGCTATTTATTGATGACAATAAGTGAGAGAAAATGGTAAAAAAATTGTAACTCTTTGGGTGGCCTTTAAGCCAATTACTTCCACCTAATCCCCATCTTTAATTTCATTTCCTCAGGTATTTGAATAGGTTTCCGCTGGCTTGTTTTTGGCTGCATCCATTTCGGCTGTTACGTTTATTGGGTTTATTGCTTTCATTGCAGTTACAAACTGCTCAGCCTCTTGTGAACCTTTCAGTGTTAAAACGGCCATTACTGCTTCTAGAAAAATGATATGAACAATCCACGAAGTGCTCCAGAGAATAGACATCTGTAGCTTTCCAAGCATATATGGCACGTTCTCTAATTCATTCCGAGCTGTTCACAACTTGCTTCCAAAGTCAGCTCATCTGCACAGGCAGTTTTGACAAATTTGTGACTTAAAATCCCACTTGTGCTATTTTTCTTTTCTTTGCTTGACAGATCCTACAAAACACAAAAACAAAGTAAATAGCTCAAAAATATAAGGAACTAACTAAGAAAAGACAAGTGAATTTGATATAAAATATATATAAATATGAGCTTGTCAACTATATTTAAAACTCCTTTAAACGTAGTCACTTGCTAACCATTGCAAATGAAAAATATTTTTATATTTAGAACTCCTTTAAACGTAGTCTCTTGCTAACCATTGAAAATAAAAAATATTTCGTAAACCAAGAATTTGTCTTGTATTCAAACCCCAAGACAATACGTGTGTGTAGAATATTAGAAAATATATTACATTTTATAACCATAATAAAAAAATTTGACCTTAGACAAAATAAATTTTATTTTCAGTAAATCTTCATATATAAGAAAATGATTGAAGACCCAAAAAAATAAAAAAAACCATTAAAGTACTAAAAAGAAGAATCCCAATGCTGGGATTCGAACCATAGCTATTCACAAGTTTCTAAAGCTCACACACAAAAGCCGATTATTACATATAAAGGTTGTTTGGTACGGCGGATTGTCATGGAATGGACTAAATTCTGGGACTGTCTTGGATTAATTCGGATTGGACTAAGCTGAATCAAGTACTCACCTATGTTTGGTGCTGCATCGTACTAAAAAGCTAGATTGTAAAAATAGTGAAGACCTATGTTTAGTGCTGTATTGGACTAAAAATTCATTATTATAATATTTAAATTTAATTAAGAATTTTGACTTGAAAAATATTTATATTTAATTATAAATATTTAATTGGGGCTTATGTGTGAAAAAAATAATTTATAATTTATAATTTATTTTTTTAATTTATTCTCTTCCTGCCTCTGCCTTCCCATCTTCTTCCTAGATGTCTGTCTTTCTTTCCAA